GGGTGTTGAATAGGACGAGGGATTGGGGCAGGATGTAAAGGGTTCATTTGTTCGGGTAATGGGTAAATCCCCCTCCCCACGCCCCCCAGACTCAAACGATATCAAGCCCTATAGAATAATGTGCTTTTACGACTGGTAATGAAATATATAACACAGGAATTCGCTTCTAGTTTTAGTGCAACCAGAGAGCCCGCGCCAATCTCGGGCCTGGCAGTGAACAGGTTAACAGCCTGTCAAGTCTTCTTGTAAAATGCAAATGTTTTCAAAATAGTAAAGAAACTTTTTTGTTTGTCATTTTTGTCATTTTCTTCTATTTCATCAGTTTGAAATTCGTTAAAAAGCATGGCAATGTACTTCTTTTTTAAAGTCTCTCAGTAAAGCGCGGTGATGCCAACAGATAATTCAAAGAAGCGTCTGCTTGCCTTTTTTCTCCCACACATGAAACCCAAATAACCGTCTGCCAAAACCTCCTCTTATCAACGTCAATGTTCTAAAAAGGCGACAGTAGACGAATTTTGTGTACATTGTAGGTAATGTATGGCTTGCGTGACATCCGGTTGCCTTTGGGTAAGGGAACATTAATACGGAAGTCCCCTAGTGAATATTTCCAGACTGTGCAATCTATAGCCTTCAGAAATTCCTGGTTACTATCTTTGCAGTTCCATCTTTAAAAAGCTAAAGAAGCTCCCATATGCGCTCATGTATATAGTGTAGATTGAATCATGTATGGGAGTTTTTCTGAAAGGCACAGGGGAAAAAGTAGAGATGTCAGTTTTGGGCTAATTTGCGTTGGACGTGGGTTGGAAAGTGTTTACGCACTTCCCCTGGCCCATCTATGTGTCCAGGGCAAAAACCTGATGGGTCTCCCCATAACAGACTTGGAAAATAAGCTGCACTATGGGAATACGTGGGCTGTTAAGCATTTCATTCGTGGTTTTCCCCAAAATGCCCCCGAAAATGACATATCTGGGTTTTCTCTTGCGCCCTTCATTTTATGTATTTGAACGTAGGTTACTGCCGTCTATACATGTCCAAGTGAAAAAATCAAAACAACGGGCGTCAAACTTCTTGTTACCGAACTCCCCCCCCCTCCTTGCAATACTGATTACACAATAAAGTGTCGCCTTAATTAAGGAAATACAATTGGAAAGAGATTTTTCTGTCCACCTGATTGGATGCAACTTAATAATATAAGGACTTTTACCATACACAAAGATAGCGATGGCTTTAATCGAGTAAACCGCCACTTATCTGTGTAGTAATGTCCACCAAAAATGGAAGTGCAGTTATTTAACTGGGTCTTCCGTTTACGCAGGTATCAACCTTTGCGTTTTGACGGGAAAAGACAAATAACACAGTAAGTAACAAACAATACACAATGCCATTGCTTTTTCCCCTCCATGTCACTTTAAGGAAATTTTTTGTTTCTAAAGTAACGCCAAACATTTACCACATGTACAATGCCAGCACGTGAAATACACGAAGAATAGGGGAAACAGGTAAATAGACATTACGTTTTAATGTTACAAACGATTTTCAGAATGATCACTTCAATAGACGAACAACAACCAGTACGCTACAACAGTTTCACAAAAGACGACAGACGAACTTGAGACGCCTTCTGCCTCAACAACAGACTGTACCGCACACAGCAAACAATTGGAGAGAATACAAGACACTGTACACAATTGAAAAAGAGCCTTCAATAGAACATATCCTCGTCTTAGGAACCTAACATTGTTCTTAAGTAATACATCGATATGATGATAACGTCGAAAAATCGGTTGCATTTTGGTTATCTTTCTCCATTAGATGTCAGAAAACATAATTAAAAAGAGCCGACAATCTTGAACCAGTTTGGCACAAAGTCAATCCAAACCGTCACCAACTTTCTCCCTTCAATCTTAAACAAAAGAGAAAGCTGAAAGTACAGCTTATTGCTTGAGAAAAGTCACTACAATGTTATTCGTAATATAATGTGCAGCAACATTAGGCTCTACTTTTTTTCACAGAGCCATCCGGCGCAACATTTGTGCGTTCTATAAACACAGTCGTTCTAAAACAATCTAAAATACAAGAATCTAAACGTGGCATAAAAAAACAACAACTGACCACGTCACTTCTACACTATCATAACTATACATTTAGCAGTGCCGATCGTAACAAAACTAAAGGATAGTCCCACAGTAGATTTCTTTTCCTACTAAATATCACAACATAGTGATGATTTTATTTGTAATAATTAAGTTTTTGCATCATTATATTATTACAGTCGGAAAAGTTCGGGTTGATTCTAAGATCACATTCAGTAAATCCGTTTGAGATAGAAAGACTGGGGATGGATGGGGTAGATTGGGGAGCTATTCTTTAGTTTTGCCGAGCGATTTGGGACGATCAACACAACTATCTGGAAGTATCTCTTATTGTGCACCTGAATAGACAAAGTAAAACTTTCTTACCAACAAGCTGGATGATGAAGTAGACCACACAGGTGAGCAGACTCATGCGTATGATGTCACGATCTTGTGAGCTTAGCGTCATCCAGTACACAATGGACAAACCTAGGATGATATGAAGATATAATTGATAACACACAATCCTTACAGGTGAACGTTTGCTAGACTTAAACTCTGGGCAAGGGAATAAGAGCGGAGTTTACTCCACTTGAGTAGGATTGACAAAACGAAAGTTTGCGTTCTGGGAACAGTAAACTATGAACTAAACTTCGCTAGAAACTACCAGGGAATCTGTTTAAAAAACTGCTTCGGAGTTAAACCTTTTTTGACTAAGATATGAGATAGGCCTGTGTTCCATGCTGATGTGATAAGTTAATTTTGACCAGAAGTAGAAAATTCTAAATAGAACACTCTTATATTCAAAGGCACAACCGCCTCTAGTTTACTTATAAGTATTCCCATATGAATGATATCTCGTGTTACTCTGCTTTTACCGTTTCTGTACATTGCCACGCAATATCAGTTCAGTTTCGTTCAAGCCACACTTACTGAGAAGCGCTCCTCCGTAGAGACGTATGGGCAAGGTGATCAGTTCAACTCCTGGGGTCTCCAGGGTCGTATGGAATATATGAGATGGGAGGATAAGAGCCTGTGGGGTGGGCAGGAGAGGAGAGGTCAGTAAACAGATAAATAAGACAAAACAAAAGATAAATATACTGCACTGTATCCAGTAATCAGTTTATCAATAAATCCAGAGGAAACTCGAGAATCTTTTGTTTGCAAGATGAGTTGGTAGATAGGTAGGTCGGTAAGTAGGTAAGCAAGCAGTAAGGTAAAAAGGTATCTATCTATCTCTCTATCTATCTATCTATCTATCTATCTATCTATCTATCTATCTATCTATCTATCTATCTATCTATCTATCTATCTATCTATCTATCTATCTACATTAGCTGAAAGATCGTTTGTCCTCCTTGCTCCATCAGTTTGGGACTCTCTTCCCCAACCCTTGAGACATACAACATCTGAGAGTAAATTTAATTTTTTTAAAAATCTTTAAAGACACACCAATGACATCATTTTTATATCAGTAGATTCATGTTCAGTACTATATTATGTAAATGACTATGTATCCATTATTGTATTTTGTGAATTGCATTGTGTATATCATTTTATTATGTATGCTCATTTCGTAACGATGTGTACGCGTGCGGGTGTGTTACGCGTGTGTGTGTATGAGTGTGTGTGTTTGTGTGTGTGTATGTGTGTGTGTGTGTGTGTGTGTGTGTGTGTGTGTGTGTGTGTGTGTGTGTGTGTGACTGTGTGTGTGTGTGTGTGTGTGTGTGTGTGTGTGTGTGTGTGTGTGTGTGTCGCATGCGTGAATATTTTTCGTAAATGTATTTATGTAAAGCGCCTAGAGCTGTGTTTACAAGGGAGTGGGGGCAACAGAAATTATCTTTATTATTATTATTATTATTATTATTATTATTATTATTATTATTATTATTATTATTATTATTACTTGCCTCATTCTATCTGTCTAAGGATCAATCGATATAGGGCCTATCTGTCAAATATTTCATCTATTCATTTGTCTATTTGGCTATCTATACATCTGTCTAGCAATTTTTTAAAGGCAAAGAACATTTGTATTTGCTCGCTTTCGTTTATGCTATTGTCTTTTCGTAATTTGTCATAATATATTATATGTATACGTTCACAAATGCTTTAACGGGGGTTTAAACCAGAATGACCTTCCGTCTTGATAGACACAAATACAGACTTCCAGTGGTTAACTACAAACGGTAGAAAACTGAAAACAAAGTGCTTTGCATAATTAAGCGGGATTGACAGTTTACATATTTTTGTCTACGGCGATCCGTTTGGCCTCTCATTCCTCCTATTAGTCCCCAATACCTGTTAATTGACCCGCAAGACCTGTGGTTTTGCAGTTCTCAACCCAGCTCAGAGATCAAACTCTTTGTTTTAGTAGAGATTTTACGGCGCTCGCAACTGCATAAGGTCATATGAGCGCCATGAGATTAGAGGTGTTACAAAAGAGTAACAAACATAAAAAAGAAGAAGGGAAAATAAGAACGATAGATGTTTCATAGGAAAGAAGAAGCAAACCGCACCAGAGCACCCGCCAACCACCCACGATCAAACTCTAAGAAGTTGGTGAGTCTTCTGACTAGATACTTTGGTTCGTAAGTGGCCTTTTCCCTTGTTTTTCTCTTTGTCATAAATATTTGTTTGCCTGTGCAGCACATCCTCATAAATACAACTCCATTCTTTTCGGAGTTTTCTTTGGTTGGTGATATCTAGTAACCTAGAGTGTAATGCAGAAAATGTTAACGTATTTCAAAAGAAACATTCCGCAACAACGCGTCTACGACATGTTTGAGTTAACACAGAGTAGATTGGCTCACCCAAAGGCCGATGACCGTGAACATTAGAGCGACGAAGACCTGCCATACCCTGAGACCGGCAGGAAGTTTGACGTACAGCTGGTCACTATGGCCGAGGATCTGGCTCAACTGTAGACAGAAACATAGAGAGTTTGGGGGGGGGGGGTGGGAGACAGGTCAGTTGTATGGAAGTTAAGTAGGAAAAAAATCCTATGGCTAGGTCAATTATAACAATAAGGAAGAAAATTAATGATTGTGTCAGTTCCGTGGGAAAAAAATCGAATAGCTAAGTCATTTATTAGAACGAAACAACAACAACAACAACAACCCCCCCCCCTAAAAAAAACCCAACAAAAAACCCCCCAACAATCACGAATAAATGTGTGTTGTTATAAATGTATTTCACACAAGAAAAACGAACAGATCAATCATGTGGAGGGTATCTAAATTGTTGTAATTGCAAATACACTACGCTCCCATCAACACAATGTAAAACATTTAATTAAGAATTTACATTATTCATGGAGAGTAATCAGAACTTGATGGTTGTGTTGGTTTAACGCCTTCTTCAGCACTGTAAAAATGTTGCCTTAGGACCTTGCTTAGTGGACAGAGAGCTTTAAGAACTCCTTAAATAACTCAAGTTCAACGTCGAAACGCTGAAGATTAGAAACAGGGCGTTCGCTTCACAGTGCCAATTGAACGAGTGGAGCAATTTACCGTTTCTGTACATTGCCACGCAATACCAGAGCAGTCTCATTCAAGCCACTTACTGAGAAGCGCTCCTCCATAGAGGCGTATGGTCAAGGTGATCTGTTCAACCGACAACCATTATTAATATTTATGATTTGGTATCTGTATGGATTTAACCCAGGGCTCAACGCTGTAAGATTATTTAAGGGGTGAGACTTTCATATTCAACGTCTGTCTCCGAAACAACAGAGGTAAGCGGGTGGAAAGGCCTGAACTCCCCCCCCCCCCACCCTAAAAAACAAACAAATAAATGAACAAACAAACAAACGAACAAACACAAATAAAATAAAACGAAATATACCCCTCGTTTCGGGGATCAGATCAAGGCCAAATGCACCATTTGCCCAATATAATACGATGTAAACTTCCAGCCCATTACTTACTAAGGAAAATCGCAGCTTAAATAAGAAGAAAAGGCCCCAGCCCATGGTTGCAAGACTTTACACTCAAGACCCAGAGAAAGAACAAAACGCATAGTGATAAAAAGTTGAGGTGATGCAAAGAAATTGAAATCCGCACCAATTTACTTTTTAAAAAAAAGGAAAAGTACTTAATACAGTAAAGAACACGGTGTGGTAAAGGAACCCATTTAACACAGTTAACTTACTTAAGAGGTCATACGTTTGATTTTAACTTTGTTATAATATTATAGTAGAAGAATGGATGTCACAGATAAAATACCATTTTTAAAAAATCTACAGACTCATTGAAGTGCAACAGTAGAACGAATCAACAGAGAGTCATAACATAGCATCCCATTATCTCTTGCACGGCCATTCGTTCAATTTCTGTCTTTCAGCTTTGCAATCTTTACTAGTGAACTTGCAGATGCAAATGACAGGACAGCTAAGGAATCCCCCAAACCACGAACGCTCAAAAAAGCTCTAGTGATGATTGAAATTGTGGTCATCCACACCACAATCCAGAATAATATCGACAGAGTAAAAAGGAGATTATAAGAGCACTTACGAGAACAAGAATACAGATTTACAAACTAAAACAAAACAATTAAGAAATAACAATAACGCAATAAATTGAGTATCTAGTGGAATGATGTTATATTATGTGGTTCTCTGGGCGTGAGGGACGGGGTATGTGGGTGTCGTCTGAGGGTTTCCTACCACATCCCGGAAGAGCAAAACCAATTTTACATAACAACAACAACAACAACAACAAACCTTAAAAAGGAGGGGGTGGGGTGGGGAGTGGGCTCTTCCGAGAGCACTCTTATTTTTAAATACTTTTGGAGACCAGACTGTTTTTGCTTTAACCAGAAGAAAGTGGTACCAAGTCCTCCACTAAACGACCTTTCTGTTGCAAAATGGAAGGTAAACATAGTGTAATTTCCCCCGGATTCGATTACGTCGAATTAAGGTCAATGGGGCTTGTGATAGACGGGGGAGAGGAGGGTGGGATCATAAACAGATACAGGAAGTGCCAGAAGGAACATAGTGTTTGTTTGTTGGTCTGCTGAGAGAGAGAAAGAGAGAGAGGGAGAGAGAGAGAGAGAGAGAGAGAGAGAGAGAGAGAAGGGGAGAGAAGGGGAGATGGAGAGAGAGATCGATAGAAAGAGAGGAAGAGAGAAAGAAAGAGAAGGGGAGACGGAGAGAAACAAGAGAGAGAGAGTAAGAGAGAGAAACAAAGATAGAAAGAGAGAGAGAGAGAGAGAGAGAGAGAGAGAGAGAGAGAGAGAGAGAGAGAAGGAGGGAGAGCAGGTAAGGGACCAGGCAGGCAGGCAGACACATAAATAGGCTGGTTCGGGGGGAGAGTGTTATACGGAAGCTGATGGACAATAGAAATGAGAAAGTAAAAGGTCAGGCACGAACACAAATAGAGACGGGGAAATAGGAAAGGTAGAACTACTGAGAGAACGTGAATCGAAGGGCGAAGGACAGATTGAAATAGAAAAACGAGAACGGATGTACACAAACACACACTGATTTGAGGACTCTCAAACACATCCTCACACCTATGTGCTACGCAGAAAAATGTAACCACGAACAGATAACTTGCATCATATCTTTCAAGTATAAAAAAGAATTATATTCCATACTTGGAGTTAGTTGTTTAACACTGCAACTCCAGTGAAATAAATCGTCATATCCATAGGTGAAATTAAAATAAACAGATATATAAAAAAATAAACAAATAAACAAATAAACAACTAAATAAACAATTAAATAAATAAATATATAAATACAATTTAAAAAATAAATTATTATCTGTCGTGGTGAAATATCAGCTGTTTAGGGCAATGCACTGCCTTTTTCTTTTGCGTAAATTGCTCGGCGCAGTACATTTGCCTTACCTTACCCTAGCAAACAGCTCCTGCCTTTTGGTAAGTCTTGATTGCAGTTTGAACATGGCTTTCACAGAGTAACCACAGATACAGCATGGGTATAATACTAATGGAAAACTTATTCAAGTGCCTCGTGTATGGAGAAATCAGAACAAACCATGTGGGCCACATTGAACATGTAGGCACTATAAAGAGAAGGTCCCAGAGATAAAAGAGAAACTCATGGTTATTTGAGATAAATGAGCTAAGATATTAAGGATAAAATGGTTATATACCAGTACTGATCCAAGAAGTTATGGACGTTATTACACATTTTGTTAGAATCAAAATAGTCAGATCCAATATTTCGTAGTTCACTTTAAGTTGCACGCCCAAGACAAACTAGAAATCAACATACTTTAGTACGCGTCATTGGAACGTTAACAACTATGTTCATAAGCATTAAAATTCACGACGTAAGGTCGATAGCAATTAAAATTGTAAGTTAAAAGTAGAGTGTAGAAATACAAAATACCACACTGTGTCAAATGGTGGAGCATGTTCTTTACTGATATTGTCCCTTGACACTCATTAAATGAATCTTTTTATTTTACCACTTACACACGGAATCAAACTAAGCTCTTTAGCAGAATCATGATTTTTAAGAATTATTTACCTTTGATGTACAAGTGAAAGTACATGGCATTTGATCACTTTTACAACTTATGAAAAAACCCCATCTGGCTTTAAATCGATTTTGACGATGTATGGGCCCATGTGTGCGTGAGTATGTGTGTGTATGTGTGTGTGTGTGTGTGTGCGTGAGTGTGTGTGTGTGTGTGTGTGTGTGTGTGCGAGTGATTTTGTGTGTGTGTGTGTGTGTGTGTATTTGTTTGAGTGTGTATTTGTGTGTGCGTGTATGTGTTTGTCTGTGTTTGTGCATAATATGTGTATATGTGTGTATGTGTGTGTGTGTGTGTGTGTGTGTGTGTGTGTGTGTGTGTGTGTGTGCTCACATATTTCGCGAGAGAGACAGAGAGAGAGCCCACCCACATACACACTACAACACCAATAACAATAACCTCATAGGGCACAACAGTATAAAAATTCAAGAATATTTCCTTTAGTTGAGAGAGAGAGAGAGAGAGAGAGCGAGAGAGAGAGAGAGAGAGAGAGAGAGAGAGAGAGAGAGAGAAAGAGAGAGAGAGAGAGAGAGAGAGAGATAAGAGAAGAGAACACAGTGCTTTAAAGGAAAACAAAGCGTCAGAGTGTCGAAGAAAAAACGAGGAAAGAAGATACTTGAGGGTTATCGAGGGTCAGAAATAGGGGTTGGGGACGGTAGAAATCAATTCCGGAAAGATTTCCAAAAAGGTTTCCCTCGCACAGAAATAGCAGCTCGTATGTCAGTTGTGAGCTGTTCTATCAGTTCCCGCGCAGCGTTTTTCTTGGGCCCCAAATTAAATTGGAAAAAGAACTCAGAATTACAAATACTGTTATATCGTTGAAGGAGAAAGGTCGCCTCCTGGAAGTTCGAAAGACAAGGTCGGGATTTTGTAGGTTAATGGATTGACTGTTAACGTTAAAGTTCCTTCCGAAATATAGATTACTTTACTTGTGAGCTGCTTCGACCCGGGTTGTAAGGGTTAACCCGAGCTGAGCGTGATGCAGCATCCAAGCAGAACGATGGACGTACTCCATGAAATTAACTTCTGAAATGGGAATCTCCCTCACGTCTTGGGCGTGCATTAACTAGCAGACTGATCTTTAAACCAAATACCCAGATTTTGAAAGCTGAAAATCATTAATAATGACTTTTAAAAAATATTTACAATTCCTCATAGTTTTTGCATTGCCTTTACAGAATACTTTTGCTTTCTTTTACATCTCTCCAAACTAACAGCTAGTGTTGAGTTGTTGCAGAGAAAATGGTCCCTTCTGACATGGGGTGGGGTGAGGTTGAGTGGTTAAATGTCGTATTCGAAGCACATAAATGATTAACACTATCAAGATTAAAATTTGTAAAGCAAGCCCAGCCAATATTAGTGTCTAAAATGGGTCAGATATGACTGCCATTTTTAAAATGAAAATTACCCTATTA